TTAAGCAAAGATTAAGGTGGAGTGGTGGATAACTGTCAGACCCATTTAGAGTCCTATAAACAGAAACGAGGGGGAGGACATTATTTAGCCTGATATAGCAAGTTTATACAAGTAACAAGAAAACTTAAAAAAAAAAAAAAAAAGTTTGGCTAAAAATCCAGAAAAGCTACCTGATTACACGATCTATCAGACTGCTGTACAGTCTCCTGAGGAAGTGATGAGTAGCTACTCTAGAGATACTTAAAATTAGAATGGATAAGATACTAAAAATATCCTCTAGGAGACAAATTCCCACTTGGACATGGTCAGCTTGGAAAGTTATTGAAGGAAAGTAGAAAAGAGAAAATAAAGTATATGGTAAGACAATAATTTAAAGTGAAAAAGTGGGGGACTTGAGAGCCAAAAAGAGTTAGATTAAAATCTTGGGTCTGTCTTTTTCATTTTTATAATCTTGACTTAAACTCTGAGTTGCTGGAAGTATAAAAGGTGATTTGCTCTATGCTGAGTTGAGAACATTGTAAATGCTATAGAATTATAGGATATCAGTTCATACATGAGAGTATTTTACTCAAAAGGGAACAAAATATTTATAATTTGACTGATTTTATAATTTATGTTGAAATGCCACTATTTTGAAGACTCTCAATTATTAAAAGGAAAAGGAGCATGCCTTGATATAAAATTTGAAAACATTATCAAAGCCAAGTTTTAAAGAATGAGACCAAATGAAGTTAAACTCCCTATTCCTGAAAATATGGCAGGGGTAAATTTCTAAGAGATAAGAAATCATATAGTAAGAAATATCTCTAGTAACTATGTCAGACAACCATGACATAAAAGAGTTTCTCCAATTACCTCTGAAAAAAACTACTAAAATATCCTGTTTCTGTGACCCATATACTTGGTAGGCAATTCATATCTATTTCTAGATGGCTTTTATAAGAAGCAACCATATATGTTTACATAAAGATTTTCCAACTATTTTCCCTAGAACCACAATGCTCCACGGAGAAATATGTAAAACATACCATTTATGAGTTCCATTGATGTATGCCTCATATTTCATTTTTTCAACTAAAAATTCAAACTTAGTTTTTAAAAAGTCCTACATGTTAACTCAATATTATATACTACGTTTAAAAAACTGGAAACCATGAGTGTGTGAAGTGGTATTTCCAGGTTCATATACCTTTATATTGATTTCAATAAAGCTTCTCTTGCCATCTCACTGAATTAATAAGAACATCTAATAAATGTGCCATTGATCAGCTTTGTATTTTTTTAAGATTTACTTTGGACTGTACATGTTTCTCCCTTAAAATTAAACAAGTGAAAGTACTATTGCATACCTATATAAATTGGGGTTTTATACTGAACTCTTAGAAGAAGACATCACTGGGATCTTGATACCCAATTTCAACTTTGTATTTATCAAATGACTGATTTCATAAGTAAATACCACAAACAATTTCACCTTGCAGATGACTCAAGCAACCTTCAAAATAGCACAGTTACACTAGTTTGTTGTATTTTTTTTTTTAATCAAAAGCATTATATGGCAATGCTGGCAGAAAAAGTATAACAAGCCCTGGCTGCTCTGAGTCTGGATTGAGTGCCAGCCTGGGAACCAAAAAGGTCACCAGTTCAATTCCTGGTCAGACCTTCAATGCCTGGGCTGGGGGCCAGGTCTCCAGTTGTGGGTATGGGAGAGGCAACAAATCTGTTTCTCAGTTCCTCCATCTCTGAAAATAAATACATAAAATCTTTTTTAAAAAAAGTACCATGAACTAAAATGCTAATTAATGAGTCTATGCATATAAAGTCACAGGTTCCCATATTCACTTTTAAAGTTTACTTGTTAAACAAGTTTAAAGTTGATGAACTCAGTGCTAAGAAAATGCCAATGCATTAGAAACCTGTTTACTCATAAATCAAACAAAAAAAAATCCAAGTTCAAGACAAGACAAAAGTCCATTTATTTCAAGTAAGAGCTCTTATAACAAAATCCCTCCTGTATTGTCCCTAAAAAAATCAGTGTTCTAGAATCTAGCCTGAAATCATTTACTGAATCCAATGAAAAATCATTCTTTTCTATTTCTCAGAAGAAATTCCAATTGCCAGAGGACCCCTAAACTCTCAGGAACAGAAGACAGGAATCTAGAAGCACTGGAAACAAATATTTTAGGCCTGTATGCAGTAATAAATGCAAACTGAAAAGCAGCAATCAGCTATTTCTACCACTTTTTGAGTGATGATTCTAAAAATTGAAAACTATAGTCCACAGGTCTCACAGGCACTACAAAGCAGGAGAGTGGAAGGTAAGCTGCTTATATATATACTTTTTTAAGCTGTTCAGATATACTAAATAAAAAAAAGTAGCTACCATAAACATATTTGGGTTTTTAATTGATGCCTATGCCTTTTAAAAAGAAGGTGGGAGAGGTTTGGGGAGTAGATAAAAAGGAGGAAAGAGAATAAATGAATGTGCTAATTTTACTTCAAAATTAGTTCTGAGTATCCGAAGTGACTAATCAGAGCCTAAACATAGCTGAATTTCATCCCAGCCCCAGCATGTCCGTAACACAAGAATAAAAAACCTTATCTTGTTCAGCCACGTGTCCCCTGCCACAAACTGCAGAACAGAACAACGCCCAAAACCAGCTAGCGTGATTTCAACTAAGGACAGACAGACCCTGTAGTCAGAAGTACCACAATGAAAGAACTTTAATTCAGACAGCTGGTCTAGTGGGTCTGCACACTCTACAAAACAAAGCCAGACCACATAACTGTACTTCCAACTTCCAAGTATCTTTAAAAAGCTACATTGGCAAACCGTTAGTTTGCCAACGATTCTAGAATCAGCAAAATATATCTCCAGTACACTGCACTTAGTGAGAAATAAGGATAAAGGAGACAGGGCTAAGTTAAGGCATCCTGGCACAGAAATCATAATAAACCAGTATTTTTTACCCTAACATATATTCAAATCAGAGACAATTACTTTTCTAAAGGGCAAATGGATGCTTGATATTTATAGAATATGTTTAAAGAAAAAGTAATGGTCATGTATGAGTAATTCTTATTAAAAAAACTACTGGTAAATTTATAAGAAACAGATATCCATACTATCTACACAGTGCTTATTAAATTGACTTTTAAGTTTTTTTGTTAAAAAATATGTAAAATCAGGCAGCACTTGAACCAATTCAAGGATATTAATACCCAAACCAATTTGCAGATTCATCTTATACTTAATCCTTATCATTTAATCCTTTGGGCCTAGCACAGTGCCTGGCAAAGAACAGGCATTTGTTCACTACATGCTTACTGTGTATTTATATTTCCTCTAACTTATAAAAAGAACACAAATCCCAAGATTTTATTTCCAAGATAATGAAAAGAGTAAGGAAATCTCTGAGAAGCAAAAAGGAAGAAAGGGCATTACTTGTGGGCTTGTAGGTATGAGTGGAATGAGTTGATGACTCTAAATTCTGTTTCTACAAAATTAAACACCCCTATTATCACAATGAAAACTAGCAACATTACAATACCTTCTTGTAAGACTTCTTGTCTACAGGTTCCAGAGTGGGAAAGAACTGAAAAAACCAGTGTAATAACTACCCACACACCCATGAAAGTGATTTCTCAAAAGCAAAATACCTTGAAAAGAAAAGGAATAAGGACAACTAGAAATCAAGATAAGCATTGTTCCTACTCATGCTAAGTGTAATCCCAAAAACACTGAAAATTACTTCATTTCACTGAAAACTAAAATGTATTTTAAATACACAAACAGAAAATTAATATAGTTTAAGTATTTAATGGTATCTTTTCAGGTAAACAGTCAAGTGACTGTTGACACTTGACACTGGAAAGCATAAACAGGAAGAGGAAGTTCTGTTTCTGGAGTGGCGGTTATGGTATGATAACAGAATTTGATCCTTTTAAAATCAACAAATGAGTCTTACAATTTAGGTGAAACTACTATTAGGAAATTCAACTATTTTCTGCAGGAGCACTATTGTTCCACTTTTCATCAAAGAGCTTTCTTTCTTTGGGCGCCTAATTGAGTTTTTGTTCTTTTTTTCAAATGATGTAATAGTTTGAAGGTTGACTGAAAAAAAAAACAAGCTGAAATCTGGTACAATGGAACAATGTCATAATTAAATTGAGAAATAAACTGTAGTAAAAAATGTGCTTTTATCACTTAAACTAATATTCAAAAGAATAACAATTAAGAGTAAGGGAACTCCACTTGAATCTCAAATGATCTAGCTCAATTCACCAAACACCACCAGGCAATGTAGATAAGTACTATAAAGGTCTCACAGAACAAATTCACTTGCCATGCTTGTACTACCAAATTCCCTTGGGATTTGTATCCCTTAAGCACTAATGTTTCTGGAAGATGAAATACTTAAAATGCATTCATTAAAATCAAGACCCATAATTTTTCCCTCACTTTTTTCAAGCCCCTTGATACTGCTCCCAGCAAAAGTCTGTGATTTACTAGTAACTTCAACATTCTGGAAAATTATTAGGTAAACACTGTGCAGGACAACACTTAGAAGAGATCAAGTTCATAAATCATTATGCAGCAGTATCTCCAAATAGAAATTTCTGGAGTGTCTACAGAACTACAAGACAGGAGTAAAAGTGATGATATACCAATACCCAACTAATTTTGGGCACCGACCTTCACCCAAAATTACCTTCCTCTAGTTCCTGGACAAGTACAGAATCCTAATGCACGCTCCAGACACATCATGGTTTTATCCACCCCTTCTCTGAGAATCTGGAGGTTAAGTTTCTCTCCAGAAAAAAACTACATTTCCAAATTCAATCAACCAAGTAACTTGGAAGCAACCCTAGGCTTAATTGCAGAGCTCCTGAACAACCCTTTCTCCTTTTCCTGTCAACTTCACTAGTCAAAGGCAATCACAGAGTTTTCTGCTGGGTTGGGACAAATCCAGGAAGAATAAGCGTAGGTTCGTACAAACCTGTCGGTGATAGTAGACTGCGTGCCACTCATCGGGGCCCTTGGCAAAAGGTCCTCCTTTCATCCAACTTGCATTTTACAGTAACACCTCCACCCTACCCACAAAGCTCTGGGACCAGGCCCGACTCCGGAAGGGGCAAAAAAGTCCAACTCAAAACTCCATTCAGTCATCTAGAACATCCGGTTAAAAGGGGTCCGGGAAAGGGGATTCGGGTTGAAGCAAAACAAGTTATCTCTCAAAACAAACTGAGGAGGCCTGCCAGAAGCCAAGTTCTACAGATAGAGATAAATCCTCAAGAAAGCTCCAGGAGAAAACTTCCTCACGGAGGCAGTGGGACAGCCGCAGGGAAGTGGGCCCAGGAATCCCTGTGGAGTTAGAACAGGATCAGCTCCGGGTTTGGCGTAGCTCCTCCTCTGGGGTCTTGAGGGCCTGCCAGTTCCCGCTGCCACAGAACCTGGCCCTCTCGCCTCCTCTATCTGGGGCTGGCGGGCACTCGTGGCCGTAGCCTCCGCCGCTTCTCGGGTTGTGCTGCGCCAGGATCACGCGGCTCCATGTCCGCAGGCCAGGAGATTCCTGTAGTCTTCCTTGTCACCCCCACCAGGCTTCGTACTCTGGGACTAGCGGGGATTCTGGGAATAGGGAGCCTTGCACCAAGTAGTGACAAGAACCTGGCCGGTCAGCGCTGCAGTCTACTAAACACCGTTTGGAAACTTCCGCAGTCTGCAGTAGTGGCTACGGCTCCTCCTAGTCAAGCCTGTAGGCAGCGATTCTCGCGAGAGGTGGGAGGTTCCCATCGGGCCCAGCGGCAGCACCGGAAACTCTGTTCGAAGGCCAGGCTTACTAGGTCCCGAGGCCCTCGAGGGAGCTTGCTGGGGGGGGGGAGGGGAGGGGGCGCGCGCGGAGCCTGCAGCAGTGGGGGTCTTAGGACGGTGTGGATGAGGGGCGACAGTCACCGGGGCGCTAACAGGCTTCGGTTCAGTAGTAGCCTCTACTGGCGATAGCCAGTTTGTCCCCTCCCGGTTGCTTTTTGGAATCCTTCCCTCAGACCTCGGGAAGACGCCTCACCCGGATCCCTCTGCCAGGAGAGCCATAGGCTCTCCTGGTGAAGCCGATACCGATCTGGCTTGAGCTGCGGTTCTGGTCTTTTCTCAGCGTGGACCCGTTCTCAAGGATGTTGTTTGTGGGCAGAGGGTTGTGGGAATTGTCCCATCTGGGAGCCCCACCATCAACCCGCCATCGCCCACAAGGCCCTGGGAATGTCAGAGACCTGTATTTTTTAGTTTAGCTTTAACCAGAGACTGCCAATGAGCACTCCTCGTATACTGGGAATTTCAGGATGAGCGGCTGTAGTCCTACAAACTTGTGTTTTTATTAATGGAATGTAATTGTTCTCCTTACTCTGATAATACAGACTGCTTTTGACCAGTGGAAATGACCTCAAGTCCGGGTGCTTGGACATCCTTTATTCTGAAGGAAACCCCAGCAAAGAGAAGCTTTGGCCTTGGCGACTCACTTGAGGCATCTGCTGGTCTCACCCCTCTGTGCCCAAGTCTTGGCTTCGGGCAAGGGTTGGAGGGCGGTGGTTGGAGGGGGTGGGGAGAAAGAAAGTTGGGAATTGGAGCCAGGATTTCTTGGTAAAAATATTGCTTTGGAAAAAGGAAATGTGTTATTTGCCAAATTAAGAAAGCATGGTGCTTTCCCCAGCGACTTAACAAGCTTGCTGTGGAAGTAAATGGGAGTAGAGAATAAAGAATATTTATCCGGTAAATAACAGTACAGTTCTCTCTCAAGAGTTCGCAAAAAGTTCCGGATTTTCCTCTCCCCCCTCCTTACCGGCTTGATTTAGATATCCATCTAGTTTCATAATTGCATAATTAGATATGGTAACTATTTAAGTACCACATACACTATAGTTTCTTAATTCCCTCTGCAAATATCTGAAGCAGCTATACTTTTATCCACATTTTTTTCAGACTTTGGCGTTTAAACCTGTGCTGATGGGTATGGGACCACAACCTTTTTGTGAAAATCCAAGTGGCAAAACAAATCTAGTAACAGTTGATGTGGAGAGGGAAACAATTATTTCTTAAAAATGCTGTTTCTAAAAGTCAGTCGCCAACAATTCATGAAAAGATCGTATCCCTGAATAGAGTATGAACTAAAGCCGATGTTAGAAGGGTTAAAAAAAAAAAAAAAGGAAAAGATGAACAAACACCAAAGATAACTATTACCTGATTTTTTTTTTTTAAATTCGGGGCACAGCTAGCTAATTTTGTAATGTTTATTTTGGAAAAGAATAGAAGGGAATTAAGGTTCCAAGTCACTTTCCTAATGATCAGACCAGGACACATTGCCACCTGCTGGTGTACCCTAGCATGACAATTCTGTCCTGAAGACACTTTTTAATTGCTTATTTTCTACATACAACTGGAAAGGGTTCCATCCATGTATATACAGTGACCAAAATGCAAACCTTATTCCCAAACTTGTATCTTTATTATTCATATAAAATGTATTCATACCCTGTCTTAATAATTTTGCAGTCTAGGTATCAAGCTAATTGGACCCAATGACTCATCAAATCATGGGTTTTGAGAGTTCCTTTCTTCCCTTCAAAAATTCCTCACTACTTGAGCTTCGGGAATAAAACAAACTGGGAAAGTTTCCAGGCTCACCTTCTTTTCCTTGCATACAAAACTTCTTGGCAAACTGCCTTTAAGAGTTTTCCAAAGTTAAACAGAGTTCTAGCTGTGGGCAAGTTTCAGAAAAATGGTAGGCAAAGGATTTAATTAAGCCAGTTGTTACTCATTCCAGAACCATTTTTTTAAATAATGAAAATCTCTATATTTGCCCACAAATTTCTAATGGTAAAAATGTCCTGAAAGCTTCCTTACAGGTGTTGGTAACCCTAGACTGTCCTGAAGGTTCCATCTATATAATCCCTTCAGAAAGTCACATTCTCAACCCTCATCCATTCTTTCAACATGCTTCTTGAGCACCTCCTAGGTGTCTAACACTGTTCTAGGCATTGGAGGTACAGTTTTGAAGAGAGCCAAAGCCCCTGTTTTCATGGAGTCCATTCAACATCATTTTCAAGGCAACTACCCAACTTGGGCAAAATAAGAAAGATACTGAGTTCTTTCTCTTTTGCCAAACTATTTCTAGTATGTAGATTTCTGTTACAAAAACTAAAGAATATTAGGAATGGTTGTTGATGAGCAGCAGGTAAGATATTTTACTGGTAAGTATAAACATGGTTCAACATTTCTATAGGCCAACTTATTTTTTTAACCTTTTGGCAAAACCACAACAAAGATATAAAGGCAAACTCTGGATTGATAAAAAGTTGTTTATTTTTATAAAACAGTAAAAGTCATTGAAATATAAGTTCTCTTGAGCAGTGTTAATTATCACATAGTAATCCAACTGCAAATGAGTACTTCGTTTTATCTGTTAATTAGCCCTCATTTACTAGTGATGTGACAACTCAGCATCTTAACTGCTGGTAATATTCATCAGAGAGGTTCCTTCATAGTTATTATCTACAACATCAAGAAAGGCTAAAATGAGGGATTCTGTTTCCCCTATCATTCTTTAGGTTTCTCAAAATTCAATAGACTATATATATTGATATGAGAGTACCAGAAAACAAAGATCTGCAATCCCCGGTCTCTTCACTTCTGAGGAGTAAGGAGAAAATTAGTACCAAATTAAGCCTATTCATTTGTCTGGTATGGAAGAAGTTGAACTGTGCCAAAATTTAAGAGCCAGCATTTTTTTATTTTATTCATTCTTTTTTTTCTTTCTTTTTTTTTTAGAGCTCATGTGCCAAGCTACTCTTTTTTGCTAGACTTTTATGAAAATCAGCATTCCCCAGCATCCTACTTTGACCACAATGTTTTTAGCAAGAAACTATCCAGCATTTTAGGGATACTGATCATAAGGAAAAGATATGGAGATACTACTATCAGATTACTTCCATGTCCAGTAAAACTCTTTAACCAAATGACAGTCATTTTTAAAAGATTCGATACAAACAAGCAAAAAAGAACCAGAGGCATGGGAACAAGGAACAAACTGACAGAGACCAGAAGGGAGGGAGATAAGGGGAGAAAGAAAGGGAAGGGGCAAGCCAAGGACACAAATAGAGGACTCATGGGCATAGACAATGGGGGAGATTGACTGGGCATGGGAATGGGGCAGGGGAGACCAATGGGGAAGGTGGGACAACTGTAACTAAACAATAAAAAATAAAATAAATGCATTGGGGAGGATTACCCAAAGAAGTGATATCTAGATGGGATAAAATGTATTTTCCTATCATTTGCTACTTCAGGTTACAATAAACATTTGTAATAAAACATTTTAAAAGGCAAAAAAAAAAAAAAATCCACTGTTAACATGACTTTAAAGTTGCTTTGCCTGGTTGAACTATGAATACGTGCTTCCAACCACTCCACTATGTGTGGCCACTGTCAACTATTTTCAAGAACTTGCATAAGGTTAATACTGCACTGACCTTCAGTCTTGACTTCAATAGCCCTATACACTTGCTCGACCAACAAAGCTAATCAATAACCATTGATCTGAATAAAAAACAGCAAAGATATAAATAATGCTTTACTTTTTCATAAAAGCCCTACATTAAAGATCTCCATTAATGAGGTACTACATAATGTCTCTATGAAATATACAATGGGGTATTTCATTCACAACAGGATTTACACTGAGGCAAAGGGTAAAAGTAAGTGACCTCCCGCAATGATTGGGCATGTGAGTAGCAAAATTCTGTAAGAACCCAGGAATTCTGTATTTCAAACCTCGTTCTAAACTTATATTCTTGCTTTTCCTAGGTGAGATAAGAGAAAAATCTTCACACACAAAAATTTTTGTCTTTCATATATGGGCTTTGTCATAATATTTTATCCGTAGATAGTGGTACCATTTCCAGAGAAATGAAAAAATAGAGGACTAAAAGGGAATGTATCCAACAGCAAGCATCCTAGAGACAACAGGACCCAGAGTCACCACAAACTAAAAGGAATGCAGTTCTGATTTACTCAAACTACCACTGATTAATTTCACTTTCTACAGCTGTACCACTTTAGAAGTTAGTCTTTTAATACTGGTATGTGCTCCATTTGAAAACTGACCAGCAAATTTAGATCTTTTTTGATACCTAAGTTTATTAGATAAGCATGATTCCATAACAGCCACATTTCCAACCTGGTTCCCATAGCTAACTTTACCCAATCCATTAACTGGAGTAAACCCTAACTAGTGTGTCTTGAGATATCTATTATGTTTCAGTTGCTGGTTTACACTCCACCTGCTTCTCCAGGCATGGTACTTCTTGATGCTTTTCCTCCATGCAAAGCGCCAGATGCTTAACATAAAACACCAGGACACAGTGTACATGGCTATCCCCCCAGCCTTCATAAACCACTTGGGCTTGGGTGAAACTATTTCACAGAAAAGGAGGTGAGCTCCTAAGCCAATCCTCACTCCAGTGAACAGAGCCACAAAGAGGAAGTCCACCACATCTCCAATGAAACTGTGGTAGTAGCCTGTTTCACGAAGAAACCAGCGTATCTGTAGCAAGGGGTTTGTAATCTCACTTCCAAAGAGGACTGCATTGACCTCTGTGCCTGACTCTCCAAGCACCAGGACCAAGATGATACCCCAGATACTTAATATGTGGTGAGCCAACATCAGGGAACCCTCAGACTGGAAGTAGATGCACCAGCCCAAGTCAAAGATGAA